GTCGATTGTTGTGTCTTTGTGGGTGTGTGTTTGTTGTTATGTTTGCGGTTGTGTTTGTGGTTGTGGTTGTGGTTGCGTGTTTGTGGTTGTGTTTGTGGCTGTGCGCTTGTGGTTATGTGTTTGTATTTGTGTGTTTGTGGTTGTGAGCTTGTGGTTGTGTTTGTGGTTGTGTGTTTGAAGCATACTATCTGCCATTCTATCTGGCAATCTATCTGACATACTATCTGGCATACTGTCTGGCATACTATCTGGCATTTTGTCTGGCATACTATCTGTCGTTCTATCTGGCATATCTTCTGGCATTCTATCTGGCATTTTATCTGGCATTCAATCTGGCATATTTTCTGGCATTCTATCTGGCAATGTATCTAGCAATCTATCTGACACACTATTTGGCATACTATCTGGCATATCTTCTTGCGGCATTCTATCTGGCAATCTACCTGGCATTCTATCTGGCATTTTATCTGGCAAACTATCTGGTTGAGGTCCAGCGGCGCACACTGCGATCGGATTCTTGCGGTTGAGGTCCAGCGGTGCGCACTGCGATCGGAACCTTGCGGTTGAGGTCCAGGGGTGCGCACAGCGATCAGATCCTTGCGGTTGAGGTCCAGGGATGCACACTGCGATCGGATCCTTGCGGTTGAGGTCCAGCGGTGCACACTGCGATCGGATCCTTGCGGTTGAGGTACAGGCGTGCACACTGCGATCGGATTCTTGCGGTTGAGGTCCAGGCGTGCGCACTGCGATCGGATCCTTGCGGTTGAGGTCCAGGGATGCACACTGCGATCGGATCCTTTGTGGTTGAGGTCCAGGGGTGCACACTGCGAGGGGATCCTTGCGGTTGAGGTCCAGGGGTGCACACTGCGAGGGGATCCTTGCGGTTGAGGTCCAGGGGTGCACACTGCGATCCGGAGCTGGCCAGACAAGATCGGCGAAGCAGATTGGCGATGAAGATTGGCGAGGAAGGAACCAAGGAGGAAGGAGGAAGGAAGGAGGAGGAGGACGCGGAGGAGGAGGAGGAGGAGGAGGAGGAAGAACAACTGTGATAAAATCTAACAACCCTCACCTGGCAGGCGGGGAACAAAAAACACAAAATTCAGAGAGTCTTGGCTGGGACCCCCCAGTCTGGATTTTTCTTTTTTTCGATGCTTTTGGCTCCCCTCTTAAAACTGATTCATTCCTTCCATATGTCATTTTCCCTTTTATGAACCCCTTTCAACTTGCAATTTGTATAAGTTCCTTCACATTTCCTTTTATATGCGATTAATTGTTTTCATTTTCCCTTTAAACTTGATTAATATCTTTATTTTGTTCTTAAAGATGCTTATTTATTTCCTGTTATTTTCCCTTTAAAAATGATCTATTCCTTTCATTCATCCTTTGCAAATGATTAATTACTTTCATTTTCCATGTTAATTTCTAGGCCTATTGCTAATGAAAAGAACGTGAAAAACTGCACTCCCAGGAGCTGCCGTTCTGTTTAAATAGGAGCGTCAAACATTGAAGCAGCAGAATGGAGCACGCACAAAGCTGCCCAAGGCAGCTGATCTGAATGGCGCATATTCCAAGCCTGCATTGAAAGACAGCGTAAAATTGAACATGTTGCTTTGTCCTGCTGCAACCCCATGTTGAGACCACAACCCTGATCCATTCACGTTCATATCTGCGTCGAAGGCCTGGAAGGGACGGGGAAACACTCACTTGGCCTTGGACAGCAAACACGTGACAACAAAGCTTGTCTTCCACACTGGAACTCCAATTTTTGAATGGGCCGCGACTTAATTTTGGAATTTGTTTTGTTTGTTTTTTGTTTTTTTTCGTGTTTCGTGGCAGGTGCAGTACTTTGTGGACCTTGCAAAGCACATTTCGTGGCAGGTGCAGGACTTTGTGGATGTGGAAGTGCAGAGTTGGTGGCAGGTGCAGGACTTTGTGGGCCTTGGAGTGCAGATTTTGTGGCAGGCGCAGGACTTTTTGCCTTGAAGTGCAGATTTCGTGGCAGGTGCAGTACTTTGTTGATGTTGAACTGCAGATAGATAGAAAGATAGAAAGATAAATAGATAGATGGATACATAGATAGAGGAGGCATATTTGCTTGGTTAGAAAGTTTTGCACCGCAGAGTTCACCTTAAAATATTGATTTCGTGGCAGGCACGGGTGTCGGGGGTGAAGTGTAGATTTCGCGGCGCGGGGGAGGGTTGAGGGGGGGGGCGCAGCGCCCCCCCCCAGCAGCACACCAGATCCAAAGGTGAGCAGCTCGCGCTTGCTTGCTTCCTTGCTTGCTTCCTTGTTTTGTTTCGTCTCTGCAACGAAAACAACAGGAAAAGCAAATGCAAAAAAAAAGAAAAAGGAGAACAGCTGCCAAAAAGAAAGAATGAAAGAAAGAAAGATAGATAGATATAGACAGGTAGGTATAGACAGATAACTGAGTAGGCCAAAAAGCCAAAAGCCACAAAAGCCAAAAGCCACAGAAGCCACGAAAGCCACGAAAGCCAAAAGCCACAAAAGCCAGAAGCCACGAAAAACAAAAAATCCAAAAAAGGAAACCAAAAAATTCAAAAATAAATGGCCCTCCTTTTTGAATATCACTCGGAACTGACTTGCAGCGTTGAACTGATCAGTTCAGTGCAGTTCACTTGCTCCGATCTCATCTATCTCTGACCACACCGTTGTGCTGCAAGACCAAGTTATGTCATGTCAACACCCCCCTTCCAGGCCATTGAACACATCAACGGCAACTGAATACAAAACACAAGCAAAGTGTTGGTTCTACAGCTGGAGTGCATCAGGAACAAGTCAGCAGTCAGTGTGCTCCTGATGATCTAAATGCTCAAAGTGTCAAACGTCTTTTGACAAAGCATAATTAATCATCAGGGCCAGTGACAAAGTGATTGCCATGATGGTCAGCATTTGACTGCCTGCCTGCAACCAAAAGTATGTGGCCAAGCTCTGTTGAATGACCATGACCAAATGCCTCGCGCCAGAATTCTTTAAAACATGTACGCGACAATTGCACACACGGAAGCAATCTGAAGTTCGTACAACGTGAAACTACAAACCGAACTGAGTCGTTGTCATAAAGGTCACAGAAGGCTGGCCGTCCTTATATCAAGGCCAGGCTGCCGCTACGTGTCCAGCATAATATGGTTTGCCACTTCATTGCATAGAGGTCATAGAGAATGATGGTCCCAAAACAAATATTGACAAGCAGTCCAAGAGAAATGGAACAGCGCTGGCCCTCACACTTTCTGCAGTGATCCAATGCTCAAGTCTGGGTACTTAGGCAAGACATCCCACGGTCAGACGGTCAGCGGATGCAATTGTGAAACATTTGTTCTGGGGTCCTTGCGGCGTTCAAAGCTTTTTCAAACGGTTCCACTTGGTGCAATGCATCACATTTTCGTCTACAGTTTTGCACAGCAAACTTTGGTTTACCACATCCCTGCAAACTCAAATTCACCGTGCTTGTATAGACTGAAACGCATTACGATATCTAAACAAGTACTCATTCAGACTCATTCATCTCACGACATCGTCTGAATATCTTTTGACTATGACAACATAAATACAAATAATGTCACAAATGATATTAAACATTTTCACGCAAAACCGAGGCACGCTTTCTACATATTTGACAACATAGCCAATCGTCTAGGAGGCCAGCAAGCTTGTCCGTGAATACTCACTGCGATTGCATACACAGCCGCTTCGGAGGTTATCCCCAATTTAATTGGCTGACAAACTCGGCATAGCTGCGTCCCTCAGTGGTACCATACACATGGCACAACGGTTTCTTTCTGCTGGGATCGCGGGGGGGGGCTTGAGCCAAAGTGTTCCGGATATTGTATATCCTCTCAACTGTACACGTTTCTAGAGGATCGATGCAATTTCTTACACATCCCTTTTTGATCCTCTAGATTCATGGATCGCGCGTTCTTTTTTTAAAAACAAACACCAAACACACACAAACTCCAATCAACCTTTCTAGGGTGCTTTTCCAATCCATCTAAGTAGAGTTGGGTCTTCAGTCTCATCGAATTCATCTGTAAGACTTTCCTGAGTAGATCCATCTTCACACCTAACTTTGTGAGGCCGTCGACTAACATGTGGTCCGTAGGTAGCCACCGTACTTGTACATTATCTCGGGCCACATCTCTCTTGACCAATAGAATTTTTATGGCCATTCTTTTGTCTTTGATGGTCATCACTTGACCATTCAGATGATCAATGACAGGTCGTGAATCTACTGATATTGTAAGTGGAATTCTTGAGCTCCAGATTTGATCCTCTTCCAGCTTGTAGTTCAGAAATCTGGCTACCGCCCATAATGATCTCATCCATTTTGACTCCGAGATGGTTCTTGATAATGTCATTAGCTCAGCTCCCAACGTTGAAGCCACTTGTCGATCCTTGTAGCTTCTCCAGCGAAGAGGCTAAATTGTTGCCCATTCACCATTTCGAAGCCGTTCTTCTGTCCCACAAATCATCTATCCACCTTGACTTTTCATTTTCTCAGCGTTGGCAAAGCTTGCATCTGACCATGCTGCAAAATCCAGTTTTTCTGGATGAATGGATTTCACGCGGATTTCGGTATTGGAAAAATCTCAAGCCAAAGCAACCAAACGATTCACTTCGATCATGTCATTCACTGTGGATTGTGCAATTCGTTGTTGAAACAAAGAGCAGCCAGCTGCTAGGTCTGGCCTGGATCCTGTCACCAACCATTGGACCTCACCTAGCATTCCTGGGTCTTTTCTTGAGGCGTCGTCTCACTCTCTTTTTCCTTTCTTCGTTCTTTTGAAATTGAAATGCACTCCAATGTTTCAGCATAATCCTTCTGTTCAATCACTACACTTCCATCACTCATCTGTTTCAGCTGTTTCCCAAAAATTCACCAGAACCAGGTTTCACATGTTTACGTATATTTGCTTCTCAAACGTTCAAACTGGCCAGAAAAGAATTCAGTTGTTCCACCTACCGACAAATCATCTACGTGAAATGCAATCACTCCATTTAGGGCACCGGCGCTGTCCCGACTGTAGAAAATACAGTTGTCCAGTTCTGACTGCTGGAGACCTTGTTCTCGAAGAGTCTTGGTCAACGATGTCCACCACAACCTCGGTGCGTCAACGAATCCATAGACTGGTTTCACCAGTTCACAGACTGTTTCCTTTTCAATGTAACCTGGAACACCTCCAGGCGGCAAGCGAACTAGGATCTTGCCTTTCTGTTGATCAATGTTGTCACCTCTGAGAAAAGCTCCTTCAACGTCAGCAATCACAAGATTCCATTTGTAGCTTGCAAGAAGCTGAACTGGAATGGCAAATCCTTCATTGCTAAGTGTCGGTGACGCTGTCTTCAACTCAAGCACATCAGGGTCTAGGTACCCCTTCCCTCAGGAGTTCCGTCATCTGAAGTGTAAACAAATCGTGACTGCAAAGTTCTATCCTTACCCACTTCATCTTCTATCCTTTTGGCCTCAAGACCTACATGTACCTTCATGGGCCCTGAGTTGATGATTTTATCCCCTTCTTTCGTGTTCGCCCTATCCAGTTCTTGTCGTTTCTCCAAAGAAAGCTGTTTCTCCTGAAGTTCCTTGTGTTTCAACTTCCTTTGTTTCGTTTTCGTTTGACGCTCACTAGTCTCCTGGTCATCATCATTTGTTTCCTCCGTTTCATTCATCAGAACATGACACTGCGCCCCATTTTGATGTTCAAGATACATGACCTCTCGACTCGGCGAACGACGAACGGGTGCACCAAAATCCAAACTGTTCAAACTATTCCTCATGGCGTGTGTCAATGACGAAGTTCTCACAGGTCCATATTCAGTGTTTTCCATTGTCCAACTGCTAGGATCTCTCAGTCCGTTTGTTTCGTTTCCGTTTCCTGCTAATTCAGCTGCTGGCTCTTCAGCCGACAATCGTCCACTGTGTTCCGAACCTGCTGGCGACTGTATATGATCAATGACAACGTCCTGAGCTTCTATACTGCTTCTGCCTGAGCCTCTTGTTGCTGACTCTCCTCAACATTGCCTCCAACCACCTATGGTCAACTGGTTCCATTTCCACAGCTTCTGAGCCTCCTTGCGCTCCTTGATCATTCATGATCTCATGCTCGGCTCTTTTTCTCTCTTCTCTCGCCTCTTCTGGTGGAAATCTCTCTTTATCAAGCTCAACAAGGTTGCCTGCTCCTCGTTCTCGAATTGTGCTCTTCCACGTCCGCAATGTGATAGGCAACCATGACGACAGTTCAATGATTTCCGAATCAACATGCTTTACCTGTTCTGGTGCACATCTGTACACCTTGGCACCTTACATGACCCAGACCTTCTCAGTTTGGGAATCAATCACTCGTCCTGGCCCATGCCAGTGATGTCTTTTCTCATTTGGTGATTTTCTCCACATCATCACTTGGTCTCCAACTTCAATTGGTCCACGGTTTGGTCGACTTCTATGGCTTATGGCTCGCTTCAGTTTACTCTATCTGATCTGCTGGGCCTTCATGCGCTTCTCTTCTTTCTCACGCAGAGCCGACTCTTGTGTCTCATTTCCTTCACCAAGCGTGCCAAGCACTGGTACACGCATATCTGCTCCAAGCACGTGTTGGTGGGGTGAGAATCCATCAATTCTGGTCATGGTGTTGTGTGCACAATTCAATTGATCACACAATTCTTCAACTTCTTCTTTCGACTGTGGATCAACCTCCAACATGGATTTCCGAAACACTACCTTCCATGCACCTCCTAACCTTTCACACACACCATTCTGCCATGGTGCGTATGCTGCTGTGACCGAGTGTTCTGTTCCATCACTTGCCGTCGAACTCCATCGCGTTGAGGTGCCGGTGAAGGAGTCCCTGTCGTAGCGCTGATGACCAACTCTTTCTGCTCGGGCTGATCCGGTGGCAGGAAATCCGGTCGTGACACTTCATCACCCACCACCTTCTCGGAGGTCTCGCCCGTCTGCCATTTGCTGTTCGTCGACCCGTGGAGGTGGGGTGCCTGAGCTTGAACTGCGTGCAAGTCCTCCAACTGCGCTGGAGAGAACAACGGGGTCGTAGCTGGTGCCAAAGTCCTTGGGGGGCCCTTGCGGCCTCTGGTTCTCTTGGTCTCCATCCCCATGGCCATCTTCCAAAGCCAGCCGCTCTTGCTTGCCCCTCTCAGAGCCATCGCCATCCACCTCTTCCGACTCGCCAGGCGCTCGCCGCCTTCGCCTCCTCATTGTGCTCATGGCAGTGAAAGGAAGGGTCGTGGGGCAGCCGCCGGCGAGTAGCGGTCTTACACCTCTGCCTTTGGGCTCATAACCTGCTCGCCTTTCTTTTCTCCAAACTGAAAACAGCTGCAGTACACTTCTCGTTTTGTGCGTGTTGGCCTTTTCAGCCTGCAGTTTCGACTTAATGGTACTTCCACCATGTCCAGTTACTGTGTATTACAGTATGTCATATTCTTCCATGGTGGTCGATTTCTCTTTGCGTAGGAACACGGTTGGGAGAAACTGTGGCGCGACTTTGCTTGTATCCCTTTTTTAGCTACGAGTACTCATGGCTTTTTGGTCTCCAAGACTCCAAGAGGCCTATGCCTGTCCACTGCACCCGCAGAATTCACCAGAAGATACAGAAAAAGGACAGGAAAGGAAAGCGGAAAGGGAAGAGGAAATGGACAGGCAAGGGGGGAAGGAAAGGAGTGGAGGAGAGAAATGTACGAAATGAAGGGGATATGAGTAGAAGAAGGGAGGAATGGAGAGCATGAAGGGAGTATGAAAGGAGAGGAGGAGAGAGAAGGAGGAAAGGAGTTGAACACATCTCAAACAGAAAAGTTAGCATAGATTACAGTAATGTCTTTTATATAAACTGAACGTTAAATTCAAACAGTAAAACAACATGCGCGTGAAAAACAACAACAAGATAAAAAGAAATAGAACAGGAGAAAACGAAAAGGACAAGGAACAAGGAAAAAAAGCAACATGAGAGAAATTGTGAAAAAAGGTGAAAAGGAATGTCAGGAGTGGAAAATGCGGCTCAATTCGAATAAAGGAAAGGAAAGGCAAGGCGGGAGAATGGAGGAAGGAGAGAATCAGGAAAGGGAAGCGGGAAGGGAAATGATATGGGAACAAAAGAGGAAAGGAAAGGGCAAGCGGGGAGAGGAATGTGTGTATGCCCTGGTTGTTTTGTATCTGCCACAGGCCTATCCCAGGAAACTCTACAGCCCTAGCAGCTCTAGTGCAAAATCTAGGAAGCCATGGGGTCGAACAATTCTTAGGAAATCATGGAGAAAACTCTGGAAGATTCTGGAAGCTTATTTTCCTGATAACGTATGAAAGCAAGGGAGGGGAAACCACCCTGAGGAAGCATACATTTAGGGAAATGATAGGAAATGTATGAAAGGAGACGGGGGACATCATGCGCATCATGTCCCGGACATCCATAATCATCATATCATTAAATTTACAATGTCCAAGTAAATAAAATATATAGAATCACCTCTGCGGGAATGAAATCAGGAGACCAGGAATGTAAATTTCTATAGGGGGTACACCCGTACACCGCCCTGAATTACAGGTATATGTGTGAGCCGGTGATCTACCCCAGAAAAAGGACAGTTCATTAGTATATTGTTTAAAGCTGCAATCTAAGCTGCCAACGTTCTCCCCGGCAATCTTTGTTCCACAATCCCTAAAAACATATCTAGCAAACTTTAATTTCCCCGTGTTAAACTCAATCAACATCTTAACGTTTTCAACCTGACAAAGGGTGCCCCTGTCAGTGTTCATACAGAATCCTATCGACCATCATCCATCATCAGGTCATCACCTTTAATAAGGGGATGTGGTCTCCAATAACTCCTCAAACCTTGTTGACCTCACCGGATTAATCAACGGCCCCCCCTCCTTCGAGTCGAAGGAGGGGAGGGGGGCCGTTGATTAATCCGGTGTTGACATTACTTCAACCAATGAACCCAGTTCCCAATGAACCCAGTTGAGACTCTCAAACATAGGCAACCCACAGGTGTATCACAAAAGCCCCATTGTGAGAAGGCAGGCCAAGCTTCAGATCTTCGGAGAGGTTTGACGCCCACACACCCGCTGCTCCCGGCTAGGAACCACAAGTTTTTAAAGATGCACAAAGCCCGCATGATTGCAACTGTGGAACAGCGCACAGAACTCTCTCCAAACTTGTTGGAATCCTCCCCCTTTATCTATGCAAGCTGACGGCTGAACAATCAGCTCAGCACAAAAAAACAAAAGTTTTTCCCCATCGGCCTATCGGGGACCAACAATAGCCTCATTGCTAGGTGAAAGATTCGGGCTAGAGATTGCATCGACTTTGAGGACAATGCAACAAAACTCTGTTGATCTAAGTGCTGACCAGTCATAAACGAGGGTTCAAAAATCCGCCCGCACCAAAGGTGCTCAGGGCGTGATCATCCGGATGGCATAAACAACTGTAAGGTACAGGTTTACCGGGGGGGCGCCCTATTTGTGGGCAAAAACCATTGCTTTTTGATAGGTCACGACGGCGGACTTCAACACTGTTTTTACAGCACGGAATGGACTAGTTCGCACACGCGCCTGCCCGGAACCGGCAAGAGAAAAGTGAAAAAAAACATTTGTTTCTTGACTTTTGGTCTTCGATTTTCGGTTTTGAGACGCGTATTCTTTGCATGTCTTGACGGGAGGCCGGGGTGCCAGATTTTGTGATTTCGGAGCTGTTTGGGTGACCGTTTTTGTTGCGCAGAAACATTGGTTTTTGCAGTGTTTTTGTACATTGCCGAGGCTTGAGCTTTTTGCGCGAAAATGTAAAAAACCTCGCAAATAGCAGTGTTTTTGGCGACCGTGTTGTTGAAGGCGTCGCAAATTGCGGTGTTTTTGGACAGCAGGTTCAAAAACACTGTAAATAAGCGGTGTTTTGGGCCACGGCAAGCTCAAAAACATCGCCGCTGTTTGCAGTGGTTTCTGCCTCACAAAGCATAAAAACACTGTAAAATACGGTACTTAGTGGCGTTTTTGGCAAGGTCAACCTCAAAATGTTAACCTCGCTATTCGCCGTTTTTGTTGGGCAACTGTTTCATGGCGGTGCGGGCGGACCTTGCCGCGGAGCGGCGTGAATAGCCATATGACCTTTTCTAATGAACATGCTCATCAGCAGCAAAAACACACAAACAATGTCTTTGCGACAAAAGAGTTCAACAATACCGGTCTTGCTACGAGTGAACAAGTTCATAATGCAAAGTCTAAACCAGCCCTTTATTCTCTCTCTCTCTTGGGGGATTGATGCAAATCAATGGTTCACAATGTTTTTTAAACCTTTAACTTAAAGTCTGCAGCCAAAGATCGCCACCCAGCAGCATAGTGCGCCCCGCATAAAGCAACTGCATCAAAGGCTTTGTACACAGCACATGATAGGGTAAAAGGTTAATTTGGACCCGCACAGCAGAGAGGAACTCGAAGCAATGCACGGCAGTGAAAAGGATGTTTGCTTCAGTCTCCTCTGCCTTGCACCATGTCAGTGAGCCTTCTGCGCATCATGAATCATGATATTCAGTTAATCATGTGTCATAACTGCTCCAAGGCGGCTAGATTGAGATTGTTGCGGTGCGAGAAGACAGCAACCAAACCAGAGACCTTAGCTTGCAACAAGAAAAACATATTATATAAGCTCACTAGCCTGTTCATGAAGCTTCATAGTGCAAGCTTGGCAACCAAAAGAATTGCGGTCCCAGATCGACGCATGGCACTATGACCAAGAAGAAAAAGTAATGGCACAAGTGATGCCTTGGACAAAACGATATAAGGTCGTTCAACGCCCTACCATATCACCAAAGCAACAACAAGTCCCAGATACGTCAAGGGCTGCTGGAAGCAAGCCACCTACGGGCCCCTCCAACCAATATGCCTCGAAACATGGCTTGGCATGTTTCTTGCACAGGTGACCCAAAGGATCCCACTTGTGTTTATGTCATCGAAATCTTGTAGTGCCACGCCTGGCTCTGCTTCAGCACAAAGCAACGTGCTACGGCGCCACCAAACCACAGCCTAAAAGCAAGTGGAGAACACACATTGAGTTCAATAATCCTTATATACTACTACCCCGTTTGCAACACGCGGCACAAAAGTGGCGAGGTACGCCTCAAATTGTAAAGGTCCATCGACTGTGACAAGTGTCCCACAAGAGCCTACCCTATGAGTTTGTCTTCTATGGCTCTATGGCGCGTCTGATCTGCAACCTTGCAAAATTTTCCTCCGCATCTGATCTGGCAGCCATGACCGTCTTGAGCAAGACGGTTTCAATGACCCATAAAGCAGCAATATGCTCGTTTGGGCACCAGGCCCAACAGTGTGTGTACTGGAAATAATGGAACTCCTTTTGCACCACTGAGATTCCTATTGCATCCGATTGCTCTACAGTTACATTCCAGCCAGAAGGTCACTTGAGGCGCAAAGCAAAACATATCCGCAAACAGTTGTCTGAGGAAGCACTCCCCAAGCACTCTGGAGCTATGTTAGTATTGAAACACTGTGGAAAAACAAGCTTACGAACTCCTCTAGAGTATGTTGGACGGGTTGAGTCTAACATGGAACAATCGAAAGGAGTTTTGAGCCATCTCGGATGGTCTATGTGAGTGTGGGCATGTGCCGCATTTCGGCTAGCGACTGACACCCTGAGAATTGTTAGCATGGTTGTCCAAGTTCCCACCATTGGTTCTTTGTCCTCGTAACTTGAATAATTAACTTGCAGGAGTCCGAGTTCCATTTCGGATATTTTTCCAAAAAATATGTGGGGATGTTGGATGTTGGGGGACGCTTTGAGTATCTGGCATATGATAATCTGATAAGCTAGCATTTGCTGCTTCGGTGCACCCATCTCCATCCTGAATCCTTACTTGGATTTGTTCTATGCTAGTGTCCATAACCACATATGTCACAGTCTCAAACACCAGTGCTGTCGGATTGCCGGCAGATCACCAGTTCAAAGGTGCCATGTTTGTGACCAACTAGACCTGTATTCAGTGATAAGTTTCGCGGGAGTAATCCAGTCTTGAGGTTCAATTCCGTTCAATGTCTCCTAGAGCCTAGAGCCCACGTTTTCATCAGGATCCTAGTGTTTTCACTGTAATGTGCAAAAACAGCCGAACAATGAACATCACACAAAACAAAAAGAATGCTCCTTTCTTTTTCAAGTGCCACTTTCCTGGATGTCCTAGCGTAATTGCTCAAGCCGGTGCAAGGAGCTTTCCAACGAGGTCAAACGGTTTTGGCATTGCTCTTGCTGCATTTTTAAGAGAAGGTCAGCAAATCTCTAATTGCACAATCAAAGGTGGATGTTCACATCTGGGCATTCAAGAAGGACCGCGCTTTCAGATGGGAATATGAGCACAGTTTTGACGACAATCAAACACCAGTTCGACAAACAGCATTTAACATAGCACTCAAAGTTCTTTCCTCGACGACGCAGCATGCAATGTCCGTCTGTTCAGCACAATCCACGTGAAGTATAGCATGCAAATGGGTTTCAGAAGCACCAGTGCTTCTTGTACATCACTGTATTTTTCATTGAAGAACAATGGTCAGCAAATGGACTTTGCAGAAAAGGCCACCAACAAACAGCTGCATAGAAAATAAAGAAAAAGGAAACGAAAACACAAAGAGACAAGAAGGGAAAGAATAGAAGGGCCTGAATGCCGGAGGACATCCGCTTTCCCACTGCTCTCCGGATTGTCGGCATCTTGTGTTGTTGCCTTTCTGCAAGAACTATAGGAAGCCTGCCAGTAGGATTTTAGTCAGTCAACCATAGTCAAGTGTCCCTAAAAGTCTAGGAACCAAATGAATAGTGCGAGCGCTATCCTGGGTCCATACTAGTAGCTTAAGTAAGGTACTAGCTACCTCTCTCTCCCTTATTACTTATATAATTAAGTAAGCGCGTACTTAACTTAGTAGGGAGGGGGCAACAGGCTAAAAAGAAAAGTAGTAATCTAAGGTAATTAATAATTACCCGGTTGGTGATGTGCCTTGAGGCGAGCCTAGCAACCGGCACTCAGGCCCAAGCCCCTGCTATCCCCTGCTCCCTGGTGATCTCCGTATTTAGCGGTCTTCATTACTTGGAAGATATATATATATAAATACTAATATATATATATATATAAAGAGTAGAACGCACCTCTTTTCTGTTCGCTCTGCAGCAAGATTGTCAGAAATTAAGAAACAATTAGGAAAATGCTGAATCCCCCATAAAAGTTCAAGAGTATCCCCCCCCGTTCCTGGTCCACCACACAAGGAAGGGGGCGTACCCGCATACTCGTCCCCCCCTGACCAGGTGGGCCACACCCCTAGCCCTGGCCAGGCCCCAAGGGACATGCCAGCTTTTTCCTCTCTTTGAAGCTGGTCTTTTGGAGGGGTGTTTGTTGCCCCCAAACACAGTGAGCAAAACAAAACAAGGGGGGTGAGGAGGGCAAGCCGAAACACTACAGAACAGACATTTAGGTGGCCTACTCTTTAATCCCGGGGGGCGGGAGACCAAAGAGTAGAACGCACCTCTTTTCTGTTCGCTCTGCAGCAAGATTGTCAGAAATTAAGAAACAATAGGAAAAATGTTGAATCCCCCATAAAAGTTCAAGAGTATCCCCCCCCTTCCTGGTCCACCACACAAGGAAGGGGGCGTACCCGGATACTCGTCCCCCCCTGACCAGGTGGGCCACACCCCTAGCCCTGGCCAGGCCCCAAGGGACATGCCAGCTTTTTCCTCTCTTTGAAGCTGGTCTTTTGGAGGGGTGTTTGTTTCCACGTCCCCCCAGGCCTCGTTTCACAGAGGCCGCCCTGTTCCCTTGCAACGGCTCAAGTGTTTCAAAGTTACGAGGATCAGAGTTGTGGAAAAATGTACGAAAAGGTGCCAAAAAACGTTCAAGAGGGTCCAATTTCATCTCTGTCAGGATAGCACGGGATTCGTTCAAGTACATCCGTGCCGTTTTTTGAGCCTGCCACCTACCGAGGACCATTACCCGGTCGAGATTGCCATGTTGGCAAAACCACCATGTGGCACCCCCCTTCTCAACGAATAGGGCCTAAGCTCCAACGGTTCTAAATGCAGGCTTTCGATGCAGGTCTTAAAGAGTTTGCGCCAGCGGGCCGCGCCCGGGCACAGTTTCTGGTTGGTCGAGGCTAGTTTGACCCAGTGCTGTACATAGCGGTAAGCCGTATCATGACTGATCGAGACACTCTCTTGGACACCTGCCCTCTTCCCTGCCTTTGTAAGGCCAAGGGCCACCACAGCTGTGCGCAACTTGGAGGAAATTTCCACCCTAGAACGGACCACATCAAACAGTTCCCCTGTTCGAAGAATACCGTAAAAGCACATCAGTAAGCTAGTAGCAAAAGCAAAATGCCCATTGTAGAGGCTCCACCCTACCATGCCACGCAACACGACCTCCGGCACCGGCGGTGCACGATTGGGCAATTCGTGCGTTACCCAAGTCTTCACTAGTCTCCAAGCACCTGGAAGACGCCCACGGATCTTTGCATCGTGGTCTTGTAAAGACGCCAGGGTGTCGGCGGCCAGACCACGCCCCTCCCCCGTGAACCACAGATTATTCCATAACGAGTGGGTCCAATTGATCACGTCGACTGGGCAGCTGAAGGCCTTCGGCCCTCAAAAAGGAGAGAAAACGGTTGAGAGCCTTGTCATACCGGGCTCTAGTGGAAGGTTGTACGGTAAGCTGTCGAAGTGTGCCGAGTTTTTGCCGATCTCTTGCTCTGCTAGCTTGTGTTCCTCCTTCAAATACGGGTTTTGGCATGACGGAATTTTGTACGTACCGCCCACCGCGACGGACGATCCGCCGGGTTAAGGTCGGTACTCACGTACCCCCATAGGCCAACCACATTGTGAGCTAACAAGAGCGAGTTTATTCGGCAAAGCGTCCGCCTCAAGCGCCGGCTTGACGTTCGACCTCTGGTCATACTGTGAAGGCGTACCAAAGAGTCCGTGAGGTGCAGTATTCGACAACTATGGTGCCTACAGCCCTGCTCACAGATTTCAGTCAACTGTGCAACACCTATCTCACGAGGCAAAGCGGGTTTGATGTTAGACCAATTGAACCGCAAGGCTGTTTTTACCTCGTCACCTTTGTAGTCGATAGTCCTTGTACGAAAGAACTCCTCCCATTCGAACCCGGCCGTCGTCTCCCTAACCTCCTTCAACCGAGCGACGTCCTCCAACAGGCCCCGAAGGACCCTCGCCTGCATCTTCGTGACTGGCCGCTGATGATGTCCATCTTCTTCTTCCTGACAAGAATTGGGTTGGCACCCCCACATTGAATTCAAGGCTATGCAAACTGCCATCAACCACTCTGTGCACCAAGGTTGATCGTCACTGACAAAAGGTGAAAGTAGATTGCGGGAGGTTGGAAGGGGGAATGTATCACGGTCCTTAACCTCCATACCCTGCTCCATACCCCCCTCCATGGACTGGCTGCAAAGCTTTAAAACCCCCTGCAATCCACCCATCACTGCCTTGCCCATCTCCCAAAGCTGCAAACCACTCACATCAGCAAAAGTTCCCTCCTTTTCCGACCCGACATGGTTCAAGGGGTCTAGCCCCGGTGGGGTCGTCGTAGGCTCGGACGTGGCATTGCTCGTCCTGCCCTTTGAGATACCTATAGGAAAAGTCGCTGCTGGCGGCGGAGGGAATGATGGATCGTCCCTCAACGGCCGGTTCAAATTGGCACCACCAACAGATGAATCGTAGTGCATGTCACCACAAGGGCCTCGTCGAAAGGGTGGCGGTGTCGCTCGGCAAGAGTTCCAGGCGGTGAGCGGAGGCCCATGGGAGCCCGCCGATTTGGGCTTCCAATGACTTCACTCTTTGGATCAGGGTGTCGAGGGCGGCCGGCAACTGCCCTCGGAGGACTTGATCTCCCACTGTACATAGCGTATGGAGTTCTCTCGCCATTGGACCAGATACCCGCCTGCTGAGCATCTGGCGATAGTACCTCAGCAATGTTGGCACCCAGCCTTCCGGCTGACCTCCTGGCCAGCCTCCAGCAACATCAGCTCCTGCATGTCCTCGATGGCTGCTGCTGACAGCACTCCAGGGAATGAAACCCCGACTGCTCTGATCTTGCTCTCTGCGCGGCCTCGCTGCCGCTGCTTTTGCTTCTGCTGTCGGACTTGCTCCGGCCCTTCTTTTGAGCGAATCGTTGAGCCTTCCTCTTCACGCGGTTCCGGACTCTCCGCGATGGATCCAGTCCGCTGCGGCCGAACATGGTCTTTTGATCGACCTGCGTGTAGCTCTTGTCTTGGCTGGTAGAGCTGCTGGGCGAACTCCTCACAGGGCTTTTTCCCCCGGCGGTCACCTCTTTGTCCTTCTGTTTTGCCGGCTTCTTGTCTCTTCCTCTTGATCGGCTCCCTCGACTTCGGTCTCTCCGGCTTTTCTTCTTGTCCGAGCTGCCTGAACTCCTTCGCCGCTTCCTCTCCTTCCTTTTCTTCTTCTTTTTGTCTTCTTCTTTTGCGGTGCCCTTCAACTTGGGGTCGTCGATCTCCACGGGCCGAGCTCCTCCTGGAACAGGGTCCGGAAGGTCTTCCATCCGCCCCCACAAGCCGGCCAGTTCGCCTGTCCCTCGATCGCCCGCGCTGACGAGGACGTCTCGCCAAGGCAGGTCAGCGAGTTCGTGAAGCCCTGCTATGGTGCGAGCTTCTTGGCAGTGAAGTAGGCCTGGTCCCACGGTGTCTTGACTGCATCCCTCCTGACACATGTGTACCCTGGCCAGGTGAGGGCTGCCAGTAGCCCATGTGAGAAGACTCGCGAGATTGGCGCCGGTGAGCTTGATCATGAGACAGCGGCCTGATGCGTCCTTGATCTCTTCGTGGATCTTCCCCGTAAACTGACAGGGATTGTTGTAGTAACTGGCTCTCAAGCCGCTGAATGGGCTGGGACCCTGGTGAACACCAATTTCTCTATGCGGACCGTCAAAAAGCAAGGGTTACAGTACCCCGATGTTCCGGCAGGAAGTCGAAGACGTCCACAGCAGCCCCGGCAGGCTGCCATTCACACCCTTCAAGCCGAAACACTACAGAACAGACATTTAGGTGGCCTACTCTTTAATCCCGGGGGCGGGAGGCCAGAGAGATCTGGGTTGCCGTGTTGGCAAACTACTTTTGTTTTGTAGGGGCTGTCCTCCGATGGAGCCTTGCACACATGAATACTTCCTTGAGATTCTTTCTACTGTACTGTTTCATGAGCACGTCCGTTGCAAGAGAAGATTGTGATCTTTGCATTTAAGTAGCCTTCCCTTGTCCTTTGGATTTTTAAGTGCAATGCATCCTGACTCACCGGATCTATTGTGGCCGAATTTGCCTGCCTACTGAAGCGGCTACTTCCTAGATCATGAAGGTAGAACTTGTTTTTTCAAAGGTTGGAACTTTCTCTGGAGAACGTCTTTGCCAGTGGATTGTGCGTCTAAGCCAGTGGCTTGCATTTTGGTATATTTTGGGTCTACTGGATGACATGAAAACCGTGTTCTTTTATACCAGGGAGCCCAAAGTCTCCTTTGGTTCCTGTTTTTCGTTATGCGAATTGTGCACTACGCTAATGAAATGGTGCTGGAGCCTGAGTGTCTTGTTCAGATCTTGTGAGACTCGCCGGCAGAATGCGGGTGTTTTATCGTGAGTTTGCGGTTTGCCATGGTTTGTCGACTTGGGTTGCACTCACAGACGGATAGGAATGTTCGACAGTCGACAGTGTTCCCTGCGGGCCTGTGCGTTATGCGGCTTGTTCTGTTGCCTGTCTTTTTATGCAATCATGCCTACACAAACAAAGAAACGCAGTTGGAAGTTCAACTCAGAAATGTGTGCAGCACAAATCAGCCAATGAAAAGCTGTCGATCACCTTTTATGAGGAGCCTCTATCCGAAAAACGGAGGCGGTTGAAACCCAACACAAGTGAAATGTCTTGTCATTTGGTTTATATAGTTGATTGAATCTGATATATTGTAGTTTTCTAGTTTCTTGATGTTTCTTGGTTGGTTGGTGTTGCTGATGTAAAAATGAACTGATACACTGTTCTCTCTCTCTCTCTCTCTCACTCTCTTCTCGCCAGAGTCGAGCATGCTTATATAGTATGATGATTGTACATTCTTCTGGGGTGAAACAGCCCTTCCTTTCTGTACACGATCTGCCTTCCCTTGAGACCCCGACGCGGAGCATTCCTCCAGCAAAGGAGAATTGATTCGCGCGCCTTATCGAAATGAACCAACATCCAGGATGCAAATTGCAGCGGCCAATTTCAGATTCAAGTGCAAAGCAAATCTGTCGAGTCAAGCTGCCTGAACGAAGAACTGCTGAAAGCACGACTACTAATCTCAACATGGCCTTGCACACAACTGGCATCTGAACACACACACACATGCCGTAAGATGCAGTTCGCAAACTTGGTTTCTTTGTCATATTGATGAGGATGATAAAACCAGTTTGCAAATCATAGTCATCCTAGAAAACAAAGCGGTTAACCTTTCCCATGGCCGTGCATGTGCAAACGCAGGCAGCACTTCTAATTATATAAATGGTGACAACCTCCGTACTCACCCAAGATCAAAATGGCATTGTAATTGTAGTTTTTTCTGTGTGGGACAATGAGACAAGCATGTGCAAAGTTCCGTGCGCTAGCAAGTGACCAAGTGCTCTTGCTGCGGCACAACCATTACTGAGACTGGGCGTTGAATTGTGTGCTTCCGATCGTCTTCTGGTGACTTGGGACTGTGTGACTTCGCGCTGACTTTGCGCTACCACTCAAAGTGTCCTGGAGGTAGTGAGAGGGCTGTGAGAGTGCTTGGACGTGCTACTAAAGAGCTGAACAGTGCTGGACATATTCAGAGTTTCAACCTAATAGCGCTGGACTCCAACCTAGAAGTGATGGCCTCCAACCTAATACCGATGGCCTCCAACCCAATAGCCCAATAGCGATAATTCTGGTTGGTGCCACTTGGGCTGCTAGGTTTGCTGCACTCCCGGCTACACGCTGCTATTGTACTACCCCTGAAGTGGTTGTCTGTTGTAATCTCTGGGCTTATCCAAATATCAGCTTTCGTTGGCTAGTCAAGGGGTCTCGGTCTCACTCTACACTACTCTACACTTCTGGAATTCACTGTTTTGAGCCGTTTCACTTGAGACGTTGAAGTACAGAAGTACACGTATGTGCACCTGCTATTTCAGCTGCTTGGACTGTTGCAAACATCCGCTATCGCATCAAGCGGTCCTTTTGTGCCCAGATGGCTAGGGGTATACGCGGTCACTTAAAGTGTGCAAATTCTGCACCCACCGGGCGGTGAAAGTCTTTTCGACTGAAATCGCCACCGCACGGGGAAAAGCAAGTAGTGGAGTCTGGTTCCAGGGCGCCTTAGGTCAGGCCTTGGCGCCCTTCCCTTCCACTCTTCTCAAACCCAAGTCGCTGCAAGTGGGCGTGGATCGTCGCCCTTGGCTGGACCTTCGTCACTAGGTCCGCATCGTTGACCTTGCCGGCCACCTTGCCCACCTCCAGCTCCTTGTTGAAGACTTTGTCCTGCAGCCACAAGTATCGGGCTTGGACATGTCTGTTGGCGCCCACACCCTTCCTCTCGCTCATTGCCTTGGCGGCACTGCTGTCCACCATGAGCTTCACCTTGCGAGCCTCGAAGCCCCAGAAGGCCATGACTCCTCGCACAAACTCAGCGTGAGTTGCGGTGCGGCGCGTTCCATAAAATTCGCTTTCGCAGCTGGAGAGTGCTACAATCTTCTGCGAAGTCCCTTTCACCAAAATGGTGTGCTCTCCAGCCTTGATGACTGCACCGGTGGTCGATCTCCGGCTCCTGAGGTCTCCTGCCCAGTCTGAGTCCGAGAGCGCCACCACATTGAACTTCTCGATGGGCTGCTCGTAAAGAGCCAAGTACCTGACAGCCTTCTTGAGCCTCTGCCAGTCCATCATCTTCGGCCTCTTCATGGCCGATGCAAGCGACCTCACCACATGGCATGGTCGGGCCTGTCCACACTCATGTAGGCCATCCTCACCATAGACCTGTAGAGGCTCACCTGTCTGCTCTCAAGCACTGATTGCCTGTCCGCCTCCACCAGATCAGCCTGAGTCATCTTGTCCTCTGGCGCGTCGCACCCTTTGGTCGTCTTGTTGAAGCCAAACTCTGGGAGTAGGATCTCTGCGTGCCGGGCGTCAGCCTCGATCTCCAGGCGTCGTCCATCATGGTCCGCTCCATCTGGGATGTACTTGATGAGGCGGTTAAGGAAGGTCGTCATTGAGCTCTTGTCGCCTGGCCCATCTCCGACGAGGTTCTCCCATTTCGCCGTGTACTTCTTGTTGAGGATGCCATCCAACCAGCGAAGTTGAGCATCTTCACCCACCACCAAGAAATCATCTCCATGGACCAGTCCAAGTAGTCCACGCTCCTCAAACCTGAAAATGGCTGGGCATAGCGGACAAAATGTCCCTCCATTCTGCTTAAGCAGCCACCCTTGATAATCTTCCTGAAGGATTTTACTTGCATCCTGGGTCCCGTACACGCTCCGCGTGAGCTTTGCGACCATTGGTTCTTGGTTGGTTGGCTGCACCATGTCCTGCTCCGGCAATTCCATGAAAATGTCACGCGCAGCGCGCCCCATAAAATGGGCACGGGAGATGTCCCAGTTCGCGAGCTTGAGCTCGCCCTTCTTGGGGTCTTTTGACATGAAGGCGCTGAGCAGGGTATTGACGGCCTCAATCGGTGGAGTCGCTGAAAAGGTGTCAGCCCACCCAACTGCACGTCGGCCGGTTTGGCCTTCTTGATCTCCTTGGCCACCATCCTGCTCCGGACGAACGGGTTGTCATTGTCGCCCTTGTTGACATCAATCCACTTCCATTGCAGGAGCTTTCCAGTGGCTTCCCTCCGAGGAACTCGGATGTAGACACCACTGCAATTCAAGCTCCCGAGCCTGCTCCCGACACGTCGTCCATGTACTGCTCCTCCTCTGCACTCAAGGCATGGGCGCCCACCAGTTCTTTCTTCAAGCCACGGAGGATGGCTTCCACCAGAGGGACTGGATACACTTGAGCTGCTTTGGCACGATCTCGGCCAATGAGGTGTACGCGCCGATGGACTTCTCGCCCTTTGAGCTTGTTGATGCACACCCCTTCTAACTCCTCGGCGATGTGGGTGGAGTTTGTCAGCCACAGTATCCTATTTTCCATCTTCACGCCAAACTTGCACATTGGGCTCTGCACCAGGTAAGTGTCCTTCCTCTCAACCATCTCCTGCACCTCAGGCTCTTGCCACGACGTCGACTCCTTGGGGCGCTCGTGGAGGAAGTACCCACCTTGTTCCCACTGCAGCTTGCAGCATGCCATTGTCTATTGGAGTCGCAGGGTGTTGAACCCTCTGCTAGTCTCCCTTCTCTCAAGGCCTCCTCCGCCATGTCCGCTTCTCTCAACCTCTTGGTCTCCTCAGCCTTTGCCTGCTGCTGTTCCACGAGGCATCTCTTGATGCCAATTCTGCAGGTCTCATTGTGGGCCACCTGCTGGAATCCATCCAAGGCACTCAGCAGTTCTTCCGAACCTCACCAGATGCTCTCTCCTCACTGGCCACGCTCTTGTCGCTGTCGGCGTCTGTGGGCTCGTACTCGGTCCTCCAACCTCTGCATCCACAGTCGCACCTGGCGCTTCTCCAGCTGCACCAGGTGCTTCTGAGCTCAGGCCTGCGTCTCCACGATGTCCCTGAACTGCGATAGGAGCTGGAGGAACCACCACCACGGCCGGCGTTGAAGGTGCTTGGCTCATCAGGCAACCTCCGAACATAGGCGCGAACGTCCCATGGAGAACCCTTTAAATTCAACTCCAACGGCCCCCAACCTGTCTCCATCCGCCACCGTGTGGAATCCGGTGCCCATCACGACCCCTTCCTTGCTCTGCCGAAACGGTTGTGGCATCCAAAACCTGGCCTCCTTCATCTTAGAGACATCTGTCTTCTTGCCCTTGCCAGCCGGCTTGATGAAGATCCTCTCCCCAAAGACCGGCGTCGGCTTGATCCACTTCTTGCCTGTCCTCCTCTCCTCCGGAGTGCGTCCATCTGCTCCCACCTTGTAGCGTTTTGACTGCTCAGCCACATAGCGTGGGATCCACAATGCCAATGGATGGCCTTCAGGTAGGCCACCCACATCCTTTCATGGCCAGTACTCCGGAATGCTACTTACCCTAGGCCGCGCACCAATTCAGTTGGTCGGAAAGCCTACCAGTCTTCATAGCAAAAGAGTCGTTGGAAAGCCTTTGAGAAAGCAATAGAAAGGTTTCAAGTTCTAGAAGAATCTTGAAGTTTCTTTTGCTTTTGACCCAAGCGGACAATCAGGTGCTTCGGGAGAGGCTGGCGACCTTTGAGGCACACGGCTCTTTCACCGCCACATGGCAGTGGCATGTCGCCTGAGGTCCGCGAGATGATGAGCGCACTTCGTGGACTGCTGGAGGCCTTGGGCAAGCTCTCAAAGCCAAAGGGCCTCATTGACCCTAGAGGCCTTGGGAAGCCGCAGATACATGGAGACAGTGCGGACGAGAAGTTCCGCCTATGGGCCATCAAGCTGGTGAAGCCAATGGGTTGGAGCTTTGTGCGTTGGACATCTGCACCTTGGAGGAGGACAGAGAAAGGAACCCATTACGCAGTGAGAGCCAACGCGCATCAACCCTGCGCAGTGAGAGTCACCGTGCATCAACCAGGACAAGGTCATCACGCCGAGGAGATGAGAGCTCAGCAGCTGATAGGTCAGCATCTTCCGTGGAGTCGTCCGACTCGGTGGAGAAGCCCTGGTTGAAGTGCAACTTGGACACTGGAGCATCTGTGACCGTGTTCCCCAAGAGCATGTTCGAAGCTGGTGAACCCAATGACATGCGGCTGAAGACAGCATCTGGGGAGGTCGTGAAGGCCTATGGAAAGGCGACAGTTCATGGCAAGCACACCCGTGGATTGATGAGGAAGCTCAATGGGGAGGTGGCGAGTGCGGCCAAGCTTCATGAGAAGGGTCATACTTCGTGGATTGGCCCTGGAGGAGGTGAGATCATCCCGCTGAACCACCCGGTGAGCAAAGCAATGATTGCAGCCTATCACAAGCGTGTAGACCAGTTCGGCAAGACGGGCATCATCCCGGTCTATGAGGAGAACGGCGTCTACAACTTCTACCTTTATGAGGAGCGGCTAGAGCAGGGAGTTGACACCTGATCGTGGGCCTCAAGCCGTGATGAACAGCACTTGGACAGTTGGTGGAAGTGAGAGGCCGATGAATTCGAGGAATCGCTCACCCCAACCTGGACGCCATCGACCGGTGTGCGCATTGGAGGATGAGGGAGGTCCAGTTGATCAGGGGGGAGATGGAGAGCAGCCGGGCGGTGAAGAGTTGGAGGTGCGTGAGGCCACCTACCTGGAGAAGAAGGAGCATGAGGCCTCGGGACATGCTGTCTACCGCAGCTGGTGTCCCGAATGCATTCAGGCCGCAGGACGAGTCCAACAGCGCCGCAGGGTTCCCCGTCAAAAAGGAGATGACCAGTACAGCGGCGATGGACTACTTCTAACCTCAAGACCGGAAGACCGGCATGATGATGGCAACAGCGCTCACCCAGAAGGGCGTGGTGGACATGACAGGTCAACGAGCTGTTGGGCTACAAGGACATCGTATTGAAGAGCGATGGGGAGCATTCGTTGGTGCGGCTGAAGAAAGCAGCCGGGAAGGATGCCAAGAACTTGGCCAAGGTCATCTGCGAGGAAAGCCCTGCTGGAGATTCGAGAGCGAATGGAGAAGCTGAGGCTGCAGCGAGAGAGATCAAGTGGAGGATCAAGGCCATCCACTTGATGTTGGAGAAGAATTTTAGACTGCTTAAGTAGGAGGTCATGTCACAATAGCTCATTCAGACTACCTTTAGTCGCAGATCACACAATCTCGTTCAGACTACTTTAGTGTCATCAAGCAAAAGTATCTCGTTTATGTGGGGGCCCTATCTCGTTCACAAGCGAAAACTGATGATACACAAGCAAATAGAGCTACTTTAGTAAAGCCTTAAAGTAGTTCCTCATGTATGAAACGAACTAGCACTCCCTGCTCGGGATATGTTTTTTTCTGTGTTTCCCCGGCTGCATATAATAGACTTACAAGGTTCTTGGGAGTGTGACTGAGCTCAAGTCTTGCCTACAATTCACCTTCAAACAATGTCGCGGCGTGTCAATTCCAGTTGCCCAAATTTGTTACCACGGAGCTGAGGTGAAACACATTTTCTTGGTTGTAGGTTCTGCATGGGTTCTGCACAGATTAGAACAATCGATAGGGTCAACCAGTTTGCGACCTTCTGGGCCATGCTGCTTGATTCTCCTCATTATCGGCAACTCTAAAATGCTTCGACAATGACAAGATTAGATTCAGTGGTTGTATGGGATTCTGCCACTGTACCGTAGCTCAACGCAACAACTGCCACTGGTGCCTCCTTCCAAAAGGAAGCGGTCAAGGTCTTTACTCTTTCACGCCCGGCGCACGTGAAGTTCATATAGCGCTTTTCCCTTTTGGATGGGAGAAGGCGGTTGTTCCATCTGCCTAAAATAGAAGATTCCGACATACTACTATATATCTATATATATATTGCTATTGAAGAATCCTTCACGCACATCCTTTTATTTTGTATGTTTTGATACGTAAGTTCCCCCTGACAGCGTGTCGAGGAAGTGAGCAATGGTCCGGAAAAACATGGTGCGAGTTACCTACTTCTCTTGAGATCGCTCACCTCAGCTGCAAAAGATATCCAAGTAATCTATCTTTGCCTTCCAGCACGTACGACATGGGGCATCTGCAAACAACCCCATGTTCAATCCTTTCGACAGGCTTTGCGCTTGGTTCTCGATATTCAAGTCTGGATCATTTGGTATCGACTTTCGACTTTTTTGAACTCTATGTATTCCATTCTAAATTTCGGTTTTGATTTTGCATTTGATTCTTGACGCTCAATTCTCGATTGTCTGCTCTCGATTCTCGATGCTCTTCCACTTGGGGCACATCTGGTTTTCCCACCCCATCCTCCTGGGACAAATTTGAACCAACAGCTTGTGTTGGTTTGTTTAGCTAGCAGGCCCATGCAAAACCCTGGGCCCTCTATAGCTGGGCAACCCAGTGGGAATACTACAGTTACCGGCAACGCCGGGGCCCAGCCCAATGGTGCAACCACCGCAAACCGCAGCGGACTGACACGAACTGGCTAAATAAGATATTAGGATTATATTAGGATATCTGATATCACAATGACCTCAAGATGTTTCAAGGTTGAAGACGCTGCTCGCCAGGAGCGATTTGTTTCGTGAGTGAATGGGCAATCGTGTCCATAAACAAATGTGGCCTGGATAGCCAGCAAGGTATCCGCAGTCATGAGCACTGGCCACTGCGCCTTGATGCTTTCCCAAGCCTGCAAGGTCTGAGTCCGCAATGAGTACTTTGACCTAAAGCACCTAAAACTTATGAATTAGTCGTGCCTGATGGCAATACTTTATTTCTTGTACCGCGTGAGATATGCTCCACACACTTTTCAATAACTGGAATAGTTCTACAAACAGCAAAGCAAACTTCACCCTAGAACAGTACTGTCCCCCTTCACAGCTTACATCTTGGTGTATCATCGCCGGTTAGCGCTTAGAACGTTCCAAAATCCACTGCAGTCAGAGTATATATATAGATATAATCAAAACAACACTAGGGTAGGTTGGTTTTTCTTGATTTTTCTTGCAGTTGGAATATATACTTCACGTTCAGAATGTCGCGCGGTTAGCCAGTGAATCAACCAGCAGCCTTGTTCCCTCACAACTTTCGATCTCTTTGTAGGTCTTTGTGGCAGCTCTCTAAGTGCAGTGGCTTCTCCTAGCTAGCCAAATAGATAGCTAAATAACTAGACGACAGGGTGGCCCGAAAGCAAGTAGGCGGAAGAGAACAAATAGAAGGGAAGAAAAGCGAAGTAACAGAAGATGAATGAGCACTAAAGAAATGAAGAGATGATATATGATGATTCAAAACATTAAGATGAAACAAAATGAGATGATGATGAGATGACACAATATATAATATATATATCTATATATATATATATACATTATGATTATGATACTATTATCACGTTATTACCAAATCTATTAATGTATATTCTGTTGCACTGTACTTCGGAGCCCATACGGTAGTCCCGGTCGATTCTTTTTTATCCAGCGCCGGTCGAGCTCAAACGCTAGTCCCGGTAGTAAGAGCCGCCGAAGTGTGCGAAATCGCACGTCCCAACCTGGCATCAGGACAACCAATGCTCATACAAATGCAACACTTGAAAAACAAAACAAATTACCCACAGTTCAACTCATGTTGTTTTGTCGGTTATCAGATATAGTTGCACACCCAGTCGGAACAGGATCGACTTCGAACAACTCTCGGTCGTGGATCTCGTGCCTTGTGGAGTCTCTGCGCGTTCAGCTGGAACAAGGGTCGACTTCGGACAACTTCCGGTCGTGGACCCAGGTCCTTCTAATCAGTTTGGTCACGACACTTTGCAATAGCCAATTCACAGCTTTTCGCCGATACTTGTAACTTCGTGGCTGGTGACTATATGTGGCATCGACATGCCGGCCTCCTGGAATTCCATTGCGTGGTGTCCACTTTCATTTGGTCCCACTTGTCGCCGCTCAACCTGTTCAAAAGACTCAATGTCTCTGGAAACGAAACTGGTCTTTCAGGTCAAATCACAACAAGCAAAGAATATCATTCAAGTCCAACAATCGAACAAAAAAAAGATGTCTATAGAGCTCTGTTTGCGCAATTTTATCGGTTATCAGGTATATTCGCGCACCCAGTCGGAACAGGATCGACTTCGAACAACCCTCGGTCGTGGATCCCGTTCCTCATGGGGTCTCTGCACCAGACAGCGTTTACACCGGACACCGTTTACACCAGACAAAAAGGTCTTACCGCAGACGAGGTTTACACCAGACAAAACCGACAAAGGTTTACACCAGAAAGAGTTTACAGCAGAGACAGTTTACACCAGACAGCGTTTACACCAGACACCGTATACACCAGACACGGTTTACACCAGACGTCGTTTACACCAGACAAAGCCAACAAAGGTTTACACCAGAAAAAGTTTACACCATAGACAGTTTACACCAGACAGCGTTTACACCAGACACCGTTTACACCAGACATGGTTTACACCAGACATGGTGGAAACCATTGCAGCAGCAATTATAAGGCGATTAGCAACAAAAGATCGCAAAACACCACGTAACTACGCACTGAACGATGACACAGGAACACCTTCGAGCCAGAACTATAAGGCGAATAGCAACCAAAGCGTGTAAAACACCATGTAACTACGCACCGAACGATGACACAGGAACACCTTCGAGCCAGAACTATAAGGCGATTAGCAACCAAAGATTGCAAAACACCATGTAACTGCGCACCGCAAGCACAGAGAATAGCCTCCCAAAACCGGATCTCGACGTCCAAGCTCCAAAAATTGCGATTTCGAAGCGTTTTTTAAAAGAGATTTATAAGAAAAATGAAAGCGGCAAAACTTGGAAAAAAGTACGTTGGAAACCATTGCAGTAGCAATTATAAGGCGATTAGCAACCAAAGCTTGCAAAGCACCACGTAACTGCACACCAAACGATGACACAGGAACACCTTCGAGCCAGAACTATAAGGCGATTAGCAACCAAAGCTTGCAAAACACAATGTAACTACGCTCCGAGCGATGACACAGGAACACCTTCGAGCCAGAATTACAATGGGGGAACGCTCCGGGCACAGACCATGGAATCGCATTTCCCAACGAGTATGAAGTCCGCAGCGCACATTCGCGACATC